TCAAGCACTGATACCAAACTTCGACTGCAGCACCCAGTTTACACCATCAATGTGATTTTTCCTTAAATATCCTTGAAATTGGATAAATGACAGTTGGGGAATAAATATATGTTTCCAACTTTGGTTCATAACCTCGAACTAGATTAGTTTCTGTGATTACATTTTTTACTTTATACAATCAATGTACAATGTGTCTTTGAATTGTGTTTTGACATTTGGACATAGTTGGCAATATTGATTTTTAACAGTGTTAGATGTGCTTTTTAGTCACTTTAATTGGCCCCTGAAAATATCAGGCACGGCTGAACGGAACGTGAAATAGCAGAAAATCAATTGGAAGCAAGTAGTTTTCACAGACAGAGTCATACTCCGACTGACCTCAGCAGGATTTATGTTTAGACGTGTTTTCACACAGAAACTGACTTCTGTTTGCATCCCTCACCTCTCTGTCAGTACTCATCACATGACTTATGGGCTTCATCTGTATTAACTCTCTCCTCAAACTGAATCCGTCCTCAGATATAAAAAGTTCCACAATCAAGCTAAATGCAAAAGATTTTGTTGTTGCAAAAAAGAAAGAAAAAAAAAGAAGAGCTCCTGCTGTGAGAGTGATCCATCATGAGTTTTCTTCGTGAAAAGTTTTTTTACTTCATCCATTTACTATCATGCCTCAGGGTTTTTAAGCGCACACACTCGGGTGCACGTATGTGTGTGCGTGCTTGCATGTGCACATGTTTGTGTGGTGCCCAGTGAACCATAATGCTCCTTTCTGGCGCATTAATCCATCACAGGCAAACAATATGCATATGGAAGTGGAACCTGTGCAGAATTTTGTAGCTGCATAAAAGTTTTTTGGGTTTTTTTTTGCATCCTATTTTTAGCATGAAAGCATTTTCCAACATTGAGGATTACTTTCTTTGTATTTATAAAAAATGTAACACTACTTTGGGAACTTTACAATACTTAACCGTTACAGTAATGCAGCATACGGTGCATAAAACAAACTGTCAAAGGCGTTGAAGAAGAGCTACTGTCCAGGACACCCTTTGACACGCAGCTGCAGGGAAGCTTTCACACAGCAGCATGTAATTGTTTCCAACCATTAACCTCTGTAGGTTGAAAGGACATTAGCAAAGAGCCTTATATCATTCTTGTAATTGTGCAACACAAAGTTTGACAAGCCATCTAATTAGTGTGAACGTTGTAACAATGCCATGACACTGAGAATAAGGAGTGAAGGTGTCATTGAAGGTGAGAATCTTATTCTGAAGTGTAGAATATGAGCAGTAATTAATTACCAGGTTGTGCAGCTGCTGCTGCTGTTTCTATAGTGTGATATATTAGTGTGGATAATTAAGGAAAAATTGGTGGGATTTCGTCCAAAATTCGGGAAAAAGTTATAAGTGAACCTTGAATTAAGAAGATTCAGTTTAGTGGACAAAATAACAAGAACCGCTGACAGTTTTGTTTGTATGTCTTGAATCCCTATTGTTCCTATTGTATCCCTATTACCTGTATCATCTTTATTTTTAAGAATTTGCTGGTGTTTTTTGTGAAAACCAAAGACAACAGAAGGAACCTTACAGAGGTTTTGGTAAAGACGTCAAATAAAATGTTTGGGTCAAACAGTTTCCTGGTCTACATCTAGTCATTAATTCAAGCCTCAGTCGACCAGTTGTCGTATTTATTGTCATATAATATGTATTTGTTGTAGGACATCAGAAAATACAAAACAGCTAATAATGAGCCCTTTTAAAGTACAAATGTTTCAAGCACAAATTGAGCTGCAGCAGCACCGGCAGAAGCAGCAGGCTAATGGTTCTGAATGTTCTGGACATTTTGGTAATAAACATAATCATTTAGGTTTATTGACAGGATGCGCCTCAGGTCAATGAAGCACAGCTGGCGAGCACTTCGTCCTCGGTAAGTTATCACAGAAACTATAGGACTCGGCCTTAATGCTGCCATCAGTCTGTCACTGGTCCGTGTCAGCCCGTCGTCAGAAAAGACGCATCAGTGGTCCGTCAAGAAATCCATAAAGTTTTTACCAGCCCTGACTGTCTCTTTACCTGCCCTCGCTGTGTACCTGACATTCAGGGTGCATGTGAGAAGGTACTGTGTGCTTAGAGACTTTGGCATCGAGTCCCAGTCACTGGGCCGGACAAGTTTTCGACCAGGAACTCTGAGTTTGCATGTCACCATCTTTGGGTCATCCTTTACCCTCTAAAATGATCCCAAAATTTGGAGTTCCTGTCTGACATGTTTAATTATGGCTGATACCCATAGGGACCAGACATGGAAAAGATAATGTCTGTGACTGTATGTTTACCCTGCAACCGAACCTTGCTTGACTAAGACTCATCAACTAACATTTTGTCGACTGTTTTGGGGCAGCAATAGTGCAAGTTTAGTTTTGATGTTGATAATAGTAGAACAAAAATAGCAAAAAAAACAAGGGCGGTCTAAATCAAAAAGAACAACCCCTATCTGGTCATAAGGACAAGGAGATGATGGCTGAAAGCTTCAGGAAGCAGCTAATGGATGGGCATTGACTTTAAATTATGTAGGAATGCTCGGAACAACAACTGCCTAAAAATGACCTCAAGAGATTTGGGCTCCGTTATACTTTCCATAGCCACCACCTGAAATGTTTGGTATGTCATCCATCCGTCCATTTTGTTCCATTTATCTGGGGTTGTGTTGCAGTGACAGCATGCCAAGCAGGGCATTTCAGATGCACCCCATACCCTGAAGCAGAAATGCCCAAAGAATCGCCAACTTAGTGTGATGGAGTGGTTTGTGTGTCCTTGGGATTGTAGGAGTCATGCTGTTGGGGGCAGTAGCCTCTCGTAGGGTCTCCCAAGACAAATTGGCCTTATAGTGGAGGGGAAGGTAAGATAAGATAAGATAAGATAACATTTATTCATCCCACAGTTCAAGCAGTTTTACAGCCGCAAAGGGGATAGTGCATGTTGGTACATCAGTAGGAAAATAGAAATATTGCAGATATCATTGGTATTACATACTTTCAAGAGTAGAAATATTGATCTAAGATTACGGATATTATGTATTTTATCTAAATTGCACAGATTCTTCCAAAATATAATGATATTGGAGAGATTCTTGTATATATAGAAAGTTGACTTTTGTACTTTTGAGTTCTTAAATGTGCACGGTCTTCACAACGCACAGGTTGGATGTGTTGACCAGAGGCTGTCACAGTCTCCTGCAGGGGGTGGAATTTGTTTTCCAAAAGGAATGAAAGCTTAGTTTTCATCCTCCTGTCTTCCCTCGATCGAAAGAGTGTCCCACGCCAGAACTGACCAGCTGACGAGACCTTTTCTTTACCAGCTTGTTTAGTCTTTTCTTGTCTTCTGCGAAAATGCTACTATCCCAGCATACCACTGCACAGAAGATGGTTAATGTCACCCCAGAGTCAAAAAAGGACTTCAAGAGTACTGAGTCTGCTCTGTCCTTTTCTGTAGAGTGTGTTAGTATTGTAAGAGCTACCCAAATACCCCAACGAATCGGCAAACAAGGAGGGCAGAACCTCGTGCAGAATAGAGAAACCAGGGCCTTCTTCTGGATCCAGAGCCAGGAAGGGAGCTCCCCAACCAGCACAAAAACACTACATGGATCCCATTGGGTCCACCACCTGGGCAATGAGGTTAGCTGCACTACAACCTGGGAGGCAGGAAAGGTCGAACAATTACGTTATGTCTGTCCTCAGTTTATCCCATAAAGACAACAGCACAAAACACATTTCTGGGCCTTGTAGACCTCACACACTGAACAGAAGAGCAGGAGTTAAGGCTACAGGGCTGTAATAAATAGAGATTGGCGAGCCTCTGCTCTCTGTTCGTGTGTTTATGTGCACGTATGTGTGTCTTTATTAGGGGGGTTTACGATTCCGAGCGCAACAGAATTCATAATGTATCGAGAGCAGATTCATAAAACCAGACACCTGCAGATGCATCTGTTTCCACAGATGATTTGGTTCAAGCCTTCACATGACAAATTTCATTGCAGCAGATTACATGACAAATTATCGCTTCAAATTACGCGGCACTTAGATCTGAGCCAGTGATGGCAAAAAAACAAAAAAAAACACTGATGACAGCGATGATATATATGAAGCCTCCCTGAGGTGAAGATCCGTGTCATTTTATTTACCATTTTATATTCATCAGTCTGCATACTTGTCGTTTAAAATCCAAATTCTCACATCAAATTACAAATCAGGCAAAATTTAAAGGCTTCTACATGTTGTTGCATGGAAACACAGCGCGTGTATAAATTGATATAGCTGGGTTCCTGCTTCAAGGTTTCAGCTGATGATGATTGGGGAAGCTTGTCAGAGCACCAAAGCCATCACTGCTCCGGCTTTACACGCTTTCTGACGCTGGAGTTATAAAATACTTAAGCTGAAGGTGGAAAAGATTTTCCCGTCTGACTCTAAGGACAAGGCCACCGCTTCCCTGAATGTCTCTTTACTTTGTTCCTGTCCCTCATGACCTCTGGTTGCAATTGCAAAGCGAAATGATGATATTTTAAAAGTACTCAGAGTACCGGGTGCAGAGGCCTGTCAAAAGCCTGGGATTACCCAAAGAGGCAGGACCATCTTTAAATGGTTGTGGTGTTTCTTGTGATGACACTTAGATGGGCACAAGTGTTTTCTGCTAACCGTCACTTTGAAAGCGTGCACTCGCTGCCTTCGGATTGTACCTTGTTGTCTGGTCGATAATGGATTCCCTCACTAGTGGGGCTTTTTTTGTTTGTTTGTTTGTTTGTGTCTTAGCAATGATAGAGATAGAGGTGTTGACACGTGGATTCTCGACGCACTGGAACAAACAACAGCACAAAGCACTTTAATCCAAAATTGGCTTGTCATGTGCTTTATGAGCTTCAGAAAGACAGTAAAGCCGTTGTCTATTCTGGACTTAAACGATGTCCTTCTGTCATGTGCATTCACAATAAAAGCACCTCTTTTTCCTCTGCAGGTGGAGTCTCCACTAGCAGTCGATGCAGTGTTGGGAGAGGCGGCGTTCTCGGTCACAGATGACAAGGTTTCCATCACGGAGCTGCGTGTTCACTCTATTTCAGGCCTGACCCTGTCGCTGCAGCCCAGCCCCGGCAACAGCCACACCATGGTGGCCAAGGCAACGGGCCTCCAGACACTCACTACTCCCAAACAGGTACAGCATGATTTATCACACTGTGCAGAAAAGAGAAATGAACAACTGCTCAGGTAGCTATAGTTTTCTTTTTGTTAAATTAATGACAACAAAAACACACTGGAACTCAATTTCGGACTCTATCACATATGAAGTGCTGGAAATGTAAACAGTGGTTGATTCCCTCCTAAACCACCAGATATAGGTCATTTTTTAAGTTTTTTTTTTATTTTTTATTTTTAATGGTAGTGGGCTTTCTAATCTTTAAATAGCACTGAAATCATTTTACTGGTTTCAGAAAATGCAAACAAATGTCTGAGGAATGTCATGTTCTGACAATAACAATAACGTGAAATCACTTATTTTATTTTTTTATAATTTGGCGTCACTTTTCAAAATCTGTTCTCACTTTGACATTAAATAATCTTTTTTAGTAAATTGTGTCAAGAAACTCAAATCAAACTGACCATGGTTCAATGTTGTAATAAAAAGGGAAAATTACAACAAAAAAAATACTGTTTACATGAGACTCCTATAGAGGTTTATCCATTAGTTTGATCAAAACAGTAATATCACATTTTTTAATAAATTATGTGCACCATTAAAATAATTTTTGTGTTGTGTAACATTTATGTTGCAGTTAAAGTGAGAGTGACAACAAAATTTGAAAATATAGATAATCTTATGCATATTTAGCATGTTTGATCAAAATGACTTGTGACTCACAAAATTTCACATTAGTTTTATAAAAGTTGTTGTCAGTTTAATTACCCTCTAGATTTACTTTACAGAACAAAACAAGCCTGTTTTTTTGGATATGAAATCTTTTATTTTACATTCAATATTTCTAATTAAACAGTTTTTCATTTTGATATGAAAGAGTCTTTTTGTAAGTTCTCATCAAAAAAGTCAAATTAAATCGACTGTTATTCAATGTTGCAAAAGCAATAAAAGGTAAAACTTCTAAGGACGATGAATACATTTTATAGGCACTGTACATTTGTTTACTGTTTACATTAGAGTCATATGGAGGCTTATCAATTAGTTTGAAAAAGCAATATCAAAATTGCTGATAAATGTCAACTTCCAATCTTATCAGTAAGAATGCATATGAAAAAATCTGAAATCATTTCTGTAATGTCTAAATAACAGTACATGTTATACACACTTTTAAAAGTTTGAAAATACACTTAATCTTATGCATAAGTATTAGTAAGCATTTATGTACGAATCAAAATAAAAGTTGGGGTCAGTTATGATTAATTTAATGTTGTTTAACTCTACATTTGCTTACTTAAGCTTACTTCTTGTATACATGTTTTATTGATATTCAAAAAATAAGCATAAATTAACAAATATACTGTCAAAAATATGCAGGTGGCCCCACAAATCTTGATAAAATTACTGCTAGTCTACCTCAGGTAAACAAATAAACAAGTGACTGATGCTGCTTCCAAAGCACAGTGTCCCTGAACATCTCCCAGTTAAGTCATAAGTGGTTTTATTCTGGAAAGTTTCTCATTAACATGGATGACGCTGACACTGTAAACAATGCTGACTCTGCTGCGTTTCACTGAAGAGGTCGTGCTAATTAGACACCCGCAAACTAAAGTGATCCTGGGTTTCACTGCACACGTTTGCTGTTGGTGTTCTGGATATTTCATGCATCAAATCCTTCCAGATCTCAACTGGATCAATGTTAACATGCAGCTGAATTAAATTTGCATGGAATCACATTGTTACACGTATTGTTCATAGATTTTCTGCTGAGATATATGATGAATCATTTGAGACATACACGCTTCTGTTCACAAACGTAATACCACCGACTTTTATGTACGTTTAAATATGGTAACGGATCAATCGTTAATACTTAAATTCAGCATCTCTTTAGGAGCTCGGCTCTCTGAGTCCTGCTGGCACTTAGCAGCCAGTGTGTTTCCTTATTTCAGCCTCCAGAGGGGTAAAATGAAGTTAATTTGCAAATCCCTTCAGTGGCTCAACTGCGTATCGACGAGCAGGCACCAGTTTCACTTTTTAGCAATAAAATTATTTCCATGCTAAATCTTTTAAGCTCCAGCCTGCATTGTTAGCAAGCAAGCCAGATAAAGGCAGCTGCAGTGAACTAATAAGTATCCACGGTGCTGTTTTATTACAAACTCCATATTAGCCAAGTCTGGCAAAACAGCCCTGATACGTCCAAATACATTTTCCAAAATGGATTTTGTTGCTCAAGTGAGAAGTGAGAAGCTGTGTCCGTGTGGGGGGGAGGAGGAGGGGGGGAAAAACTGTGCTTTTTATGCCACTGTCTCATCATACAGGAGGAAAGATCTCTACAATTCTCCTGCTAAGAATTAATTGGCAGCCCTGATTCACCTAGGGAGGGATGTGTCTGAGTGTGCGTCTGGGTTCTTTCCCCGCTCTGCCCTTTCATTGGCCTGCAAGTTGCTAAAAATGCAACGACAACCACATCAGGCATCAGTGAGAGAGAAGCGAGCATTAAATTCCAATTTTTCTTGCTTTCCGCTTCTTGGCCACCTTGAAATTTAATTATTGTAATGTATTGTCCTAAGTGCTCTCCAAGGCCGGGCCATAAAAGGCAGCCAATTCCTCTGCCGGCAAAGCTCTCAGAGGACTACTGGAGCTATTTCAAGCCATTTGATTCTGTTTCACAGGAAAACTTTCTAAATGTCCTCTATTACTCTAGAAATGAATGAAACACATAAACTATGGATAGAGAGAGTTGGACAATCAAGGTCTCTTTGCATTATTCTCGTTTCCACTTGACAAAGTTCGGTCCTTTTAGAACTGAAAGCCTTCAGTGTTTGAAGGATCATTGTAAACCATTTCTGCCGCTGTGATCTACTTACTTTTACTGCTTAAATGTGCAACTCAATAAGGTGTTTTTGAATCTGAATATTATACAGCGGCGTGCAAATTTCTGTTGCTAATAGCAAAGTGAGTAAATGATGGTCGGAATTGAAGGGCCACAAGGTTAAGTAATTCACATTTCTATTGTAGTTCAAGAGAGATTACCAATTTATTTCCATTTTTTACTGTTTCAAAAATAACAACAAAGGAAATTTGTGGGCACCCTGCATGGTCAGTGCTTAGTGGCATTCCCTTTGGCAAGTATCACAGCTTTGCAAACACTTTTTGTAGCAGCTAAGAGGCTTTCAGTTCCTGTTTGTGGATTTTCCTTCCGCCTTCCTGCAAAAGCCTTCTACACTGTCACTTCTACCAAGTTGAGTTCACTTGAAAAAAGGAGGAAGTGAAAAATACAGTGTCAAGTTGTGTGAAATGAACATGAGTAAGCTCTACTTCTTTATTGTTGTTAGAACTTGAGAAATGGAATCCCATGAACTTGAAATGTTGTGCCAAAGTCAGTGAGCTAAATACACTCAAAATACCATAGATATGACCATATATCAACTCACTAAATGTTTTGTTGGACCCTGAACATTTATGCTGACCAGAAGTCATTATTCACCATGGTGGCCTTTGCACTATATACTTTACACATTCACAAACAGCAAAACACTGCAAACTATTACAACACAAAATTAGTAATTTGAACTTTCTGGTCAGGAAAATTTGACAAGTCAAGTACATATAGTTAAATAAAACAAGTATGTGGGCAAAGCGTAAAAAAGACTTAGACTTAAAAGGCTACTATAAATTAAGTTACAGTGCTATTTATTTGAATAAGGACATAGTTCTGATTTTTGGGGGTTAACTTACAGGCTCTGCTCTTTAGAGATCTTTGCAGGAGTTTTCATTGATGTTAAATTTGAGGACGTCCAGGTTTGATCTCTTGAGGTTTTCCATTGTAGATTTTGAGGTGTGTTTCATTATTGTCCTTGTCCTGTTGTAGAAGACAGCCTCTGTTCTTCTTCAGCTGTTTTACAGATGTTATGTTGTTTCCAGAGTTTTTTAATCGAGTCCATCCAACCTTCTATCAGTGAAATGTTCTCTGTTCCACTGGCACAAGCTCTAACCACGATCAGTTCTCCTCTTTGCTTAAGAGTTGGAGAGGTGGTATTGCCGTGAAATTCTTTTTTCTCCAAATATACCTTTGCTCACTGCTGCCAAAAAGGACTTTTTCCAAAATGCATCAGGCTTCTTTAGATTTTTACTTGCAAACTTCTGACATTGAATTTTGTGGTGAGGATGCAGGAGAAATGTTCTTTTGGTTCCATGAAGGTCGTATTTGCACAGGTGTTGCTGCACAGTCGAACAGAGCGCCATCACTCTGACTCGGCTGCTAAATCTTCCTGAAGGTCTTTTGCAGTCAAGCAGCCGTTCCTGATTTGCTTTTCTCACTTTGAGCACTTGTCTCAGAAAGTTGTCTCAGTCTACCAGACCTCCACTTGACCTCCGTTGTTCCTGTTAACTGTCATTTCTTAATGACATCAGGAACTGAGAAAACGGCTACCAGATCACGCTTTTGTATCTTCTTATATCCATCTCCTGCTTTGTGGCCATCAGTTACTTAATAAAAGTGTTAGGCAGCTGCTTAGAGGAACCCACGACTGCAGATTGTGGGGAAAACATTTGAGGAGTTTGCATCATCTCGTCTTTCCTAACAGCGATTGTGAACTAGTCATTGACCTAATAAGCCAATTAAGGTGTGAGATTTTGGAAAAAGTTATCTGAGAGCTCAGATCTCTTGAGGTGGCCAAACTTCTGCACGATTCTCCTTTTCCTTTTTCACTCTAAGTCCAAAAACTAAAATAATACGTTATCTTACTGTTGAAAACAACATTTTATCTTGAACTTTATGCCTTCTGGAGATCAGTTCATCTCCCGCTCCCTTAACTACTTTCAAAAAAATAAAGGTACTAACTGAAAATACTTTTTCGAATTGATGCCAGAGAAAAAAACCTTTTTAGTTTCACAGAGAACATTTCCACATAAGAGTCTTTAAGGAACAAATTCTGCAAACATTTCTTACAAGAACTCCCAAAGGTGCCTCAAAGAATCATTAAGAAATGGTTCCTGCAGGCATCGAGAATAGGGTTCCAAAGAACTTTAGCAAAAACAGGTTCTTTAAGGAATAATTTTCAATATAGTTTTGTGTGCACACAGCTGGTTCAGTAAAGAACATTTTTAAATGGTTCTTCAGTATTTTTTAAAAATAATTGATTGATTTTAATCAAGTTATTATGTGTAGGATAAAAAGCAAGCACATGAACACAGTTGTTGGTCATTTATTAACTTTCCTTTTTACGTCATGCAGTTAAGACAACGAAGATATTAAAAAAGTCCAATGGATTTATTACACATACACCTCTAAAACCCTAAATTAACATCTGGATCCGTGCTAAAAATCAACAAACACTGAATACATTTGACAGTTATAGGCACAGTGATTTGAAGAACTTTCATGTCTGGACTCTGAATGTAAAAAATTGCAGCATTTGTGGGTTTTCAATTATAATACATTTACAATTTTGGGTTCTGGACTGTTGGTCAGACAGAACATTTTAGAAGATGCCGGCTTAGGATTTAGGAAAATGTGATGGGTTTGTCTCTCTGTTTTCTGGACCAAATGATTGTTCAGTTAAGATTGAGTGAGAAAATAATATGCAGATTAAAAGAAAGTATGTTTAATGCCATTACTTGCCATCAAATAACTCCAATAAAAATGAAGAACCTTTAGTACTTTAAAGATAAAATAAGTCAAGTACAGTCCACTAAGCAAGGATGTTCTTCAATTGGTGTCTTGAAAAACCAGAGCCTTTTGAAGAATATTATTGATTTCAATAAACAAAAAATTGATCCATGCTGCTGCATCTAGTATACATTTCAACTTGAAATTATTTGTACTGCTTATGCATATTTTATAGTCCAAGCTGTTTATGTTCAGTTCACATCCATACATGTTCCTTGATGCCGTAAAGCTCCAACCAGACAAAGCGTTGAAATCAAAGATATGATGAAAAATGTCTAGATTGCATTAATTCATAGAAACAGATACGCCATGTTCGATGTATTATTTAAATCATCCATATCAAGGGCTGTCTTTGAGCCTTCATGCTGAGACGACAGCCTCCTGCTGGAATGTTGCCACATTTGATTAATTTTCTACTAAACCTGAACTGAACAGATTTTGTTTCCTTCTGAGGAGACCGACTGTGCATGTGCGCCTAAAGCCAGAAAACTGTTTTAGACTGTTTTAGAATTTTTCTCACTTTTTGTCTGCTGTCCTAATGGTCGGTCGCTGATGTTTAAGCAAGCTGTGAACAAAAGGGTGACTGTCAAACAGCCTTGATTACACGGACACCAGCGTTGCGGTTTGGTCCGCAGCAGACAAATGTTGTCAGGTAACCACCGTGCAGGAATTGAAGCGCTGTATCTGGTTTCTCTATAGGGCAGCAGGGACAGGAGTGAGGACTAATAGAAAATACAAAATGAGAAGATCACACACGGCTAACACAAAGAGACGGACTCATCATTCGAAGCACACACCACTGCTGCTGCTGCTCTATGTGCCTTATCTGTCTGTGCTGCAGAGCGAACCTGTGTTGCAGCCTTCAGGACAACACAGCCATTCCTCTGCCACCCTTCCTCCTCCGAGCTTGAAAGTGGTTTGCTGGTGTGCACATCAGAGGCAGGCCGTCTGTGTGCATGTCAAGGCTTGTACCGAGCACAGGCTACTGCGGATGTTCACAAACGCTCTGGAGATTTAGGGATTGGAGCGAGTCCAGGACTTCAAAGGCTCAGTTGGGAACAGATATTCAAATCACGGTCAATGCCATGAAAGAATAGGATCTGTAGCATTGGAATATTCTATGGAGAGATTTAAACACAAGGTGGACTCACATCTTTTTGACATAAAGTGTATTTATTGATATTTATTGATGTAATCTTTGTACTTGGGTTTGGAATTCCTGCCTGTCCTTCATTTGTCTGTCATCTCGAGACAGGATGATAAGCTCCTAAAATCAAAGGGTTAACCTGTGCTGTGCCATTCATTACTGGCATCCACACAATGTGAAAAAGAAAAAGAGAAAACAACAAACTAAGCAAATAAATAAATAAAGGATTGGCTGCAAATGCTGCCAAACAAAAAACACAAGATGACAAAATGTCCTAATTTAAATAAAGTACAAAAACAGTAACATTCTCAATAAATGTTGTGTAGAGAAACATCTTTATTTTACAGATTTACAGAATAATTGCGATCAAACACCTTTGTCATATTGCTGGAGCTTAAAGTTCTAAAGTAAAACAATGTTGTTTTACAGATTTGTGCCTTCGCTAAATTGATAGATCTAAAAGTTTTGCAGCCAAACACTGTTATTTTACAGACACTAATGACCTACACAGTTGTATCTTATTGATTTAGCCTAAATTATTACAATGAAACACTATTGATTTGGGTTAAAACGTACTAACGATTATTAAATCACAGTCTCGGTTTGGAAGACAAAGTACGCACCACTATTGACTCTCAAACACTTTGGTTTAATTTATTCACAAGAAAAATGTTTGAGATCAACCAATATAGGCACAATTCTCCTCCATCTTGACCCAAACACAAACATTAATACTAATTATTGTGTTCTTGGAGTTTTTGCTGTCAAGTTTTGGGATTATATTCCTGATCTAACAACTGAGTGATTTAATTTGTTTTTACACATGCATTCAAACATGCAAGTCATGTTGTGATCAGTGGAGTTAATTCAATTTTGCTTTAGTCTTGAAGCTCTTGTTCTTGAAGTTTAGTCTTGGAGTTCACAAATGTTGGAAACTAGTGCAGAAATGTGGAAACTAAACTGTATCCCTCTGTTTTTGTCTGACAGGAGGCCAGTTTGTCTTTCTGGATGCTTTTCAGTGACAACACAGCCGCCACTCTGACTTACTTTGATCCCAAAGACTACAACCTCAATGCCTCCACGCTGGATGACAAAGTTGTGTCGGTTTCCCAGGAGCCTCAGCAGCGCTGGCCTGTGCTGTTGGCAGAAGGGGAGGGATCTGGTGAGATGGTGCGTGTAGAGATGACCATCTGTGAGGCCTGCCAGAAGACCAAACGCAAGAGCGTCATCGCATCTGCTGCAGTTTATGTCAAGGTCCGCTTTGGCCCAGAAGAGGACTCAGAGGAAGAGGCGACCACAGAGGGCGAGATTGAACTGGCGCCCGTTACCAGGCGTCCAATCATTGATCCGAACATCAGTGGAAGAATTTATGAGACATCTAATGAGCAACCTGCCAGCGTTCCCATTGATTACACCAATTTCCCCACCATTAGCAACCAGGAGCGAACGACTGAGAGTGATGAAGAGGAGGAAGATGACTTTGTGCATTCACCTCGCAATATGACCGACCTTGAGATCGGCATGTACGCCCTGCTGGGAGTCTTCTGCTTGGCCATCTTAGTCTTTCTTATCAACTGCATCGTCTTCGTACTCAAATACCGCCATAAGCGGATCCCACCTGAGGGTCAAGCCAACATGGACCATTCCCACCACTGGGTGTTCCTGGGAAACGGCCAGCCGTTGAGGGCCCAGTGCGATCTGTCGCCGCAGCAGGTGGAAAGTCCCAGCAACCCTTTGGAGGGCGTACAGACTTGCTGCCACGGGGACCACCACAGCAGTGGCAGCTCCCAGACTAGCGTTCAAAGCCAGGTTCACGGGCGTGGCGACGGCAGCTCCGGGGGCTCCACGAAGGAGAACGGTGAGGACGCCAGTTCCCCCACCTCCAAGCGTAAGAGAGTCAAGTTTACCACCTTCACCACCCTTCCCACGGAGGAGCTGCCCTATAACTCCATCCCGATAGCAGACGAGGAGGACATTCAGTGGGTGTGCCAGGATATGGGCTTTCAAGACCCAGAGGAACTGCACGATTACATGCGCAGAATAAAAGAAATAGCCTGAGATAAGAGGTGCAGCGTGGAGCACCGCTCTCAGCTTTCTAAAAGTTAAAAAAAAAAAAAAAAAAAAAAAAAGAAACGTTCCTTTCTATTTTTCTCTTTTTCACCTAAGTGAAAGATAATTTTTCACAGACTAAAAGGCCAACTGTTGTTTTGGTTAGGGTTTGTTCCATTTAGTTTGCACAGTGCTGTAATCTCATACACACTCACACAGAAGAGAACGCAAGGAAGCCAAAGACTTAACCAGAGGATCTCAATCGCTGGAGGAATCTGTAAATCTTGGCTATAGCAAACATGTTTCATTGGGAAGCTGAGCCATGAGCAGATGTGACTCTTATTTTTCAGGATCTGATTCTAGAGAAAGCCTGATATGGACAGGAGTGCAGAAGAGGTCGCGTCACAGTCGCTCATTGGGACTCTGCAGTACTGTAACTATTCCAAACAAAGAGGCCTTTGATGAACAAATAACTGTCAAAGACTCTCAAGAAAGCTATGTTAAAAAATTAAAAATAAAAAAAATCATTTTGTTTTTTGCCAAAGTAGGGAAAGTGTTCTTTTAATGGCGAAACCCTCTTCATTGTTGTTCTCGGTGCAGCACACTCATGATTTGTACTCATGTTCATTCCTTACATTTTTCTACATTTCATAGGTAGTCAGAAGCAGTGCCCTACTTCTAGTCCTCATGGTCCTGAACGAATCTAATGCCTTATAAAAATGGTCACAGTTCACTTCTTATATCAACGCAGACACCCTGTTTTCTCACTATAGCGAGAGACGGCGTAGTAAAGAGCATCTATGTAAACTACTACGACTGTTCTCGAGCATGAGGTATAAAAAGTAAAGAGCTTGTGCATTGTGAGGATCTCTAACAGTCTTTGCATGGAAGGGGATCTTGAGGCACTATCAGCAACATTATGGGTTTTTTGTTTCTTTTTCTCCAAATTTGTAAATGTTTATATTGTAATTATATAATCATTCATACACATTAACTAAACTAAATATGTTATCATGCATTACACGCATGCCATGTCAGGCCTACATACATGCAGACATTCCTCTCTAGTATATGTATATACCGTATTGAGCTGGAGCCACTTCCAGCACGGATGCTCGGCGAGTTACTTAGTCCGAGGTAGAGGAGTGGGAGGCTGGTTGAGGTCTTGAAAATTTTATAGTCTTGTGGTGGGTAGAAGGTTCCCCTCGGTAATGTCATGACAGAACTGTAGATTTTTAACAAACTGGTATCACATTTGACTGTTGAACGTGGGGATTTGCTATGCATCAGAACTGTAATAGATCTAATCTTTTAATGATTTATTTCCCTTCCCCAAGTTTCACTGGCCTCCAGCTTTTGGGAAAATAAAAAAAAAAAAAAAAAGCCAAAAAAAAACTTGTAATGTACTAGTTGGAAACATTCTCACTGAGCACAAGATCCTCTGCAGGAAATGTCATCCACCGTTCAAGAAGGTTACTGAATATATTATTGATTTTCCTCCATTATTTAAATCATAGCCATCCCATGCTGTCACGCTGTTCTCGAACGCGCCGCGTTATGTATGTCGTCCTTATTTTGTTTATCTGCTCCAGTGAACTGACATGTAGAGGTCACAAATCTGCTTCAGCTGAACAATGTGAACAGGGCCAGAGACTCGTGGCTCTTGCAGGGGGGGAATAAAATACGTGGCTGTGAGAATGATACGAGTGTGACTGTGAGAACATGTAAATGTATCTCAGGATGCTGATTGACTTCATCGACAAATCAGGGTGGTTGGAATCAAAGCAGACGGTGGATGTCATTGACAAGTTTTGTTATGCAGATGTATAAATTGCTGTCTTAAATATGTTCTGATGTGGTTGTCGGGTACACTAAAGCGGGAAAAAAATAAAAGCTCTGGAGCATTCAGAAAGATCTCTTTGACACGGAACATCTCACGACTACAACGAAAACATTGCAAGGCAGCCAGACACAGTAAGTGAGAGCAGGATGACAGCAGAGCTAATAGTGTTTTTAATTGCAGCTGCCCTGTTAGCGTAGCATATGTTTGTAGTACTAGAGTGGCTAACTAGAGACGACGTTTGAAGGTTGATGTTATTCAAACTCTGATCTCACATAAAACAAGTTCTTTTTGGGACTAATGAGACAACCATGAGATAAAAGTTACTTTCCATGTTACTTTCCTTTATTTCTTTACCGTGCATCTAAGGGCTTGGATTTTTTTTTTTTTTTGTCTTTTATGTTAACCGACAGGTTTTTAGTGAGCCTGTGAGTAACAAATGCTACAAGCTCCTGCTGTGGAGATAATGAGTGGCAGCTTTATTTGTTGTTGGGTTGTTTTTTGGTTTTTTTTTTTTGCCATTTTACCTGATCCTCAGCCACTACTGAGTAAAGACCCAATCCAGAATTGCTTTCATTGTGGCATCACTGTTACACAAACACTTGTATAGTATTGGACAAAAATACAGAATTGAAGGACATACAAGGGTTGATCAAAAAGTTGTGACATTGTGCCTGTAAACATCAAAAATGATACTGTACTTCAATTTAGCCACAATCAAAGTAGTCTTCTTGCGTAGGGATGCACTGCTCCCAGTGCTCCTGCATAGCACTCCATGGAGGTCTTGTTCCGTAAGCATGTCAGGCACCATCTACGATGAGCGCTGAATCTCTTAAACTGTGTCAAAACGGGAACCCAAACTTCATTTTGTGTTATTGTAGCCAAAAAAAAAAAACTTGTGCCATTGAGCCACAGTTTAGATTGATCACAGCATACATTTCCCCTCAGGACACCTCAGGAAGATACGGTAAAACTTGACAGTCACATCTTAGGGGACTCATTTACGGTGCAAAACCATGTGAATGTCGAAGAAAACAATGACCATGCTTCTGGTGCTCTTTTGTGAACTGACGCACCTTGTACAATTTTGGAAACTGCAGGCTCGTCCACTGTGAAAACTGTTATTTCTTCTCTTGATGGTAGCCGCAGACCCACCTCTCTTCACCGGACATTATCATTGACATAAAGTTGGCTTTCCCCTGCTGCTGACTGACAAAGAAAGTGGCGCTTGCTTTCTGCTTTAGTTTGAGATCTATGGAGAAATCTGAAACGCATATTTGCCAGTTGACAAAAATATGTTTATAGCATTGTTTCAATGACATGTTCCATTAACAGGCAACACAAAACCGTCTTGAGCCTTTTTGATCAACCCTCTTGTTTTATTTATGTACTTGGAGGAATTTTTCAGTGAGCCTCTTGTCCACTGAGCAATCATAAGTGACAGTGAAATGTGATCTGAAGCCAATGATTTGCTCAAAGCAGCCTTCTAAATAATGGAGCATAACCGTCTTTATACTTTTTCACTTATTGGACAGTGACCATGAGATAACTTCCCATCAGTAAACCATACCTTTGAGTATTCTCTCTGTATATATATAGACCCGCCCAGATATATATATATATAAATCCTGGATTGGGACTTCAAGGATTTGGTTTACTGCATGCCCTCTCTATGTTCCAGTGATTGAAATGAAAAATGACCTGATTCTGGTGTTAAACGATGTTCAGTCCGTGTTATCAGCTAAAGAAGAAGAGGAGACTTTGTTTTTGACAGTCCAAGCCCGTCCTCCTTCAGCCACAGCATCAACATGATTTGCCATGGATTTGAGAGAAACTGCAGGCAGCTGCAAGCGTTTCAGTTTTAACTTCAAATGATGGTCTCTCAGGATGAATGTAGAATTCTTAACTAAACCTGGCTGTGTTGTGTTTAGTGTTAACGTGATCAGCCCAATCTGGTGACATTACAGATTAAGTATCTAATAGCAGCTTCATGTGCAGTTTTCATATGGTTTTTCCTGCCGATTTATTCACACAGTATGTAAATATGTTGTTATTTTGGGATCATTTTTACATCCTGCTTCCCCCTCCTCAGTGCATTTGATGTCTTTTTTTTGTAATGCTGCTTCAGTAACGTGCACATATTGCTCATTTTGTATTTTCGTCAGGCTGCTAATAGAAACTTAGTCTTCTTACAACATGTAAATGAAGATCTTGAATTGTATCCCCACCCCACGCCCCACTCATGGTGAACTGTGCACGACGTGCACGGCTCATTTGGCTGTGCCAAGTAACCACCACACTGACTATAATATTGTAATGTACAGAGCACTGTATTCTCTTGAAAACAAACCCTTGTATTTTCCCGTTATATGTAAAGTACTAAAGAAAATGCAATACACAACTGACATGGTGTCATTTTTTACTTCACTTTTCAGCATTAACAAGAAAGAGATTTTTCTTTATTAATGTTTCAAACGTGTCTGTGTTTTGGCATGATGTCGACTGTGTGTCAGCATGAATTATTTCAGGAATTCAGGCCCAGTAGCTACATATATGAAGGAACACTCTGACCTTGAAGGGTTTTGGCTCATTGAGCTCTTAATATCCCTCAAGAGGATTGGTACAGAAATCACATTAACATGTGTGATCTATACAGTATATGAAGGTAATGGTTTTATATATTTTGAGAGAATGATGACTTGCTTATGTGTTCTTTTATCTTTCACTTATTCACTCAGTCCAAACATAAAACCTTTTTTTCACTATATGGGTTGCTGTCAAATTCAAGGACAAGGACACTAAAACAACGGAAGAGCGTGATTACATTAGAGTTTTTGTTCTTTTGTTTTGTAGTTTTTTATTTGAACTATATACTATGAAGCATCTCATCTGACTGTTTTGCTCGTGTGTCCCTGCTGGTGTTGATCTGATCCGGGCTGGAGTCCTTTGAAGTCTATACAAAGATCAGCCACAACATTAAAACCTAATGATATGTTGGTTGTTTTGTGCAGCCAAACAGCTCTGACGCATCAAGGGCTGGACTCCACAGACCTCTGAAGGTGTCCTGTGGTATCAGGCACAAAGATCCATCCATCCATTATCTATACATCGCTTAATCCTCACTAGGGTCGCAGGGGGCTGGAGCCTATCCCAGCTGACTTAGGGTGAAGGCAGGGGACACTCTGGACAGGTCGCCCGTCTATCACAGAGCCACACATAGAGACAGACAACCAAACACACTCACATTCACACCTACGGACAATTTAGAATTACCAGTTAACCTCAACGTGTTTTTGAACCTTGTGGGAGGAAGCCGGAGAACCCGGAGAGAACCCACGCTGCACGGGGAGAACATGCAAACTCCACGCAGGGGTCCTTACCGGGACGTGAACCGGCAATATTCTAGCTGCAAGGCAACAGTGCTGAAAACCGATCCACCCTGCAGCCCAGGCACCAAGATGTTAGCAGCAAATTCTTTATGTTCAGGAAGATGCGAGGTGAGGATCTATGGATTGGACCAGGACACCATCACCTGTCTGCAGCTACTCGGCCTCATTCACTACAAAAAGGGTCTTTAAGCTGTAGTTAAAGTCAATTTATAAATGAATCTCATTTAGCTTTCAGGTTTGGTGAAAGCAGTTTAATTCTCCGGATTGTATCAACCTGAAATTACCCTTTGAACTGGTATTTTAATTGTGGTAAAAGTGCAAAAAAAATCAGGTTTACTACCCCTTAAGTGTTGTGTGTCTGATGTCCATGTTTCCTCAGATTTTTTCCATGATTACAGAGTAAATAAAAGGAAAGACCTGTAAGTTTATGGACAAAATCATGTTTTGCATTGTTTGTTAAGGTTAAGCAAATACTTCAGATGAAAAACTACAAAAGTTGGCTTTCCTTAAAATGACATTGCAGCAATTCTCACTTGAGAGAGATCAAATGATTTCAGTACATTAAACTTCAAGCCACAGCATTATTACTTGACTCAATTGGATAAACTTAATTCAAATGTGCGTCATCACTTGAAAGAATTCATTAACTTCAGTTCAACAATTCTGTTTCTTCACTGTACACAGGAAGCTGCAATGTTCTTTGTGTTCTGACATCTTTCTATCACAGCAGCATTGAGATTTTCAGCTATTTGGGCTTAATTAGCTCTTCTGTGGGATCAGACTACATGTACCAGCTTTCAGTCCCCATTGATTCATTGGTTGTCCTTCCATGAACCGCTGTTGTTCAGTTCTCGCCACTGCATACTCGGAACACCTCACGATACCGTCTGTTTTGGAGACGCCCTGATCTCGTCATCACAATTTGGCTCTTGTCAAAGTCGTTCAGATGCTTAGGCTGCCCATTTTTTCTGCCTCCAACAGTTTAGCTTCAAGAAGTGACTGCTCACTTGCTGTCTGATATATCCCACCCACTGACAGGTGCCATAGTAACGAGATAATCAATGCCATTCACTTCACCTGTCAGTTGTTTTAATGTTGTGGCTGATTGGTGTGTATTGCCCCTTGCTGCGCCGCATCTGAAGGCCCTTCTGTTGAATTTACCCGTAATTCCCTGAAAAGTGTGAAGATCTTGCAGAGAGACGAGCATACAAACCTGCTGTAGTGCATTTCTACTCATCGAGCAGCTCCCAGCCACACAATCCATACTTGGAGAGGTGTTTACTTCAAGTCTGGACTGTTTACTCCTTTACTTCACTTCATTTGGGCAGCTGAGATCAAAGTCTTTTGAACTCAGGTAAGACACACGGGTCATTAGAGAGCAGCGAGTGGGTTTGTGGAGCTGGAGAGACAGATGCTGACATCTGATCGCTGCAAGCAAAGACCTGCACTCTACTCTGCAGGTTGGATAGCTCTTCAAAAACAACAATTATCAAATGGCATAAATCACACAAGTGGGTTAAATGTTGCCTCCTGCTTCTGCTGTCGACCATCTGAATGTATTTTCCATCATTCAAGTGGGTGTAACTACATGTGTACATTTAAAAAATACAAATATGTGTGTCAAGGTATGACATTCACATGATAAAAGAATGCAAGTCTTCATGGAGGATAGAATTCAGCATCTTCAAAAGGTGAGGAAGTTGATATTAATCTGATGTATGCAACACAAACCCTTATTGTCACATCACTGATACAGGAATTATGAAATGCCAAGTCTTGTTCATCATATTCTCAATTGCATTTGCACCCACTTAGAGATTTGTTAGTGTAAAAACTTGCATAACGGATTAATAAGAGCTCGGACAAAGCATAAAGAAATTCTGTTAAAGAAAATAGACCCCATTCTGAAAGCAGCTGTGTCCCCAGTGTAGCTAATACGAGCTATAAGAGTAGGACAGTATGTGTTTAATCACTGCTTCCTGCTGCACATTTTGTTTTGCTGGTCAAAAATAAATATGCAAATATGAAAACAATTGCAAGAAGTAGTCCTATTGCTTCCCACAGCTTATGCATCCTCGACATGTAATATGTAAAGGTCATGATGCAGTTTTCTAAATAGCACCAACAGAACAGATGCAATTCACAGAAACACAAAGGGTCCCATGAGATTTCTTACTAACACAAATAAAATCCAGTAGTTTATTGCAAAACTAAAATAACTGGACACTGGACTTGGTAATCAGTTTTTTCTAAACATGCAAGGTGTGTCAGAAAAGTTTCAGGACTGGTGTCATAAAAGATATATTTCAAATCCAAACTACAAACTACAAGTTTTCCCCTTCAAAGTAATCCCCTTGGTGTCTAACACACTTTCCCAGCCTTCTCTGCCATGCTGCCATACACTCCTGGAGGGATTCTTCTGGGATCCTCCGCAGCTCTGTCGTAACAACCATCTTAATGTCGTCCACGTCTTCAAAACAGGTCCCCTTGATGTGAGTAGGGAGGTTGCTCCAGCACGGCCTTGTTCTTCTCAGCCAGCAACTGTTGGATGCTCAGGGCATTGTGAGCAGGCATGTTGTCATGGTGAAGGAGGTACAACTTGTCCTGCCACAACTCTCGCCTCTTCTCGCGCGCTGAATGAACCAAACGCCACAGGATCTCTTTGTAGATATCCTGGTTGATCGTCTGAAGAGGAAAACTCATAGTTTGTAGTTTGGGTTTGAAATATATCTTTTGTGACACCAGTCCTGGAACTTTTCTGACACACCTCGTGTATTAATTAATGTAAATGGGCCCTATCAGGAAGTATTTCCTCTGTAATCAAAGCCTGATGTACCTTGTTTCCCTCTGCCATGAAGAAAATCAAGTCAAGTTATCATTTTAACGTGCCATCTACTGTTATTAGAAGGTGGAAGACATGTCATATGGAAAAATCAGCTGATCATTTCCACCATGTAACTTTAGTGTACTGATAAAACACAACAACACAAATTCAAACTTCCAGGGTTTAATTATTGAATTAAATTATTGAATTTCCCTTCTGGGATAAATAAAGTATTTTTCATTCATTTATTCTTAGCAAATTTCAGGAACCATTCCTATCTACTTGCAGGTTGGAACTTTTTATATCATTCTTCTTCTTCAGAATTGGTTTCTGGGTCGAGCATGTGTGGCTGAAATACTCCAATATTACAACGTCTGTTGAGAATCAGAATCAGAAAAAAGCTTTGTTGCCACACACAAAGAATTTGCCTTGGTTACATGAAACTCACAGCACTGACAAAAGGTTAGTTAAACAACAAGACAGCAACAGAGTTAGTAAGCAATAAATGTAAAAAAAAATCTGAATCTAAAGTCCTAAGAAGTAATATCAAAATGAGTAATGTAAAGTACTTTTACAGTGTTTGAGCAGGTGAGCTGGTGTGCTCGAGTGGTGTTGATGTTCATCTAAACAATATTATAGACAAAAAGGGAATATTTTTATGGGGGAGAATTTTCTAAGTATGTAATTTTGATACTCAGATATACGTTTTTAGGAAACACCTGGAGAGTAACTTTAAAAAAAATCAATGAACCACATCCTTGCACTAAAACAACATCATTTGTTCCTTATGATGAAAAATGTTGGAACATATATCCCAATAAATACAATGAGATGATGCTCCACTAACACTTTATTGATCCATCACAATGGAAAGTCACATGTTGAAGCAGCTAGATAGAAATGCAGCATAGTAAAAAAATAAAAAATAAAAAATCAACAATAAACAAGAAAAGAAATACTAAAGTAGAATAACCATAAAAATAAAGACAATAATAAAAGAGACTGTTCTTCTTTCACAAGCACACCAATGGCTTGATTTAAATAGCAACAATGCTGCATTAAGTTATTCTATTTGAAAAGGCATAAAGAGAAAATCAATGTACTGGAAGAGCTACAAGAAGAGCAGCATTACACTATGCAACAATACATTATTTACCAGGGACACATAATATGGAATATTTTTGCTCAATTT